TGCTTTCACACTGATTAAAACGTAAACTTCAGGGTTTAACGAAATGTTATAAAAAAGGATGCTATTTTGTATATTGACATCCAGAAAAAGTGAGCATATGGAAATATACGACATATGCTCATAGAAGCAGTGTCACTTCAAATAATAAGGTATCCTACTTAAAAGGCAGTCAATAAAAAAATAAACAATTAAAGAGACAGTCTTACTGTCTAAAAAAATTTAGAAAACCTATCTTACATTAACTGAAACAGCAGAAGTATGGTATGCACTGCTCTGAATCTACAAGCAAAAGACCTGCTGTTTATGCTCATGCTTAATATAGTCTTAGAAAGATACACTATTTGACTATTTATTTCTTGGCATGTTTTCAAAGAAAGATTGGCTCCTGTACTGAGTTAATATGTCAATATTGAATAAGGTGCAGTTAGTTTGGGTTTAAATGAATGGCATCAAAAGTTCATTAGGGTTTGCTCTGGTTTGCTTTCTGCCACTGGGGGATGCCCTCTTCCATTGACTTAAAGGTGTGAATATTAATCAAGTTTACATTTGTGATACTGTGAGTTTGGTCTGATCGACTGGTCTGAAAGCTTATGAGATCTCCCTAATCAAGAAATAAATCATCCCATTTTCCCGCCTATCTATGATGTTATCCCTACATTGTAAATATAGGGCTGATGTCCTATATTGGACCACATGTCACATTAGGCTAATTTAAATCTTCTGCCACTCGCAATCGTCTTACAAGTTCAAAAAGCATATTATATATGTTTATTTTACAAAATGTATTTAGGGTGAATACACTGTACATTGGCTACAGTAACAAGAAAATAGCCTTCCTTCCCAATTTACACTCAGCCCCATGGAAACAGGGTGAAAAACGTGGGGGAGATTTATGTGGAAGTTAAGGCAAATACAGAGCAGTAAGTGCAAGGGAAATTGCTTTGCTTTGTTACCATGGCCACCTGAAAATGCTTTGTGTTTTTCCCCAGCACAAGAGATGATGAACAGAGAGGGGAGCATGCGGAAAAATATGTGTTTATGACAGATCTGAATGTTAGTTGATTACATACAAGATTAACTGTATTATGCGTGAAGATATTTTCATTTATTTCTTTCATACAGATTTAAGTGTATTTGACATTTTTAACTTCTGTGCCTGATTTATTTCACTCATTAAACTGAAGATCACGACTACATGTGATGTATATTTTGAATTCCTTACAGTAGTAACAAGACTCACATTTATTTCATGTACAACTACCCTTTTGGAAAAATGTCAGACTGGAATTACAGAAGGAACAGTGTGGGCTAAAGAGTTAGCCATGGCACTGGGCATAACCCACCTTTCAAAAGAGCCAGATGGAAAGGGTAAGGTTTCAGTCAAAATATTGTTTTTGGATTGAGGTGTGTAAGTGTTCTCTCACTCTTGCACTCTTTCAATCTCCCTACGTCCTTGTCTCTCTCAATCTTTCTCTCTTGTGCTTTCCAGCACTCCTTCAAATCCTCCTCCTGTTGTGTTTTATCTGATCTTGTCAAAGGTCTCCCCTATAAAACCAACGAAAGCTCATCAGGGCAGACCTTTGGAGACCCGGCTCGGTAAGTCCTGGTTAGGTTGCGTTCAGCTAATATTTATCAGAAATGCCAGAGTGCCGAATAAAAAGTCAGCACTTCAAATCTTTTTTTTTTTTCACAGTGATTCACGATGAAATGTATGGTGAAAGGCACCAGCGGTCTTAAATCAGCAGTTTTACTCTTAGACGCTTGATAAACATGCGGCCCACAGGTTTGTGTCTGGCCTGGTGGGGCTGTGGGGCAGAAAGGTATGTGCTTAGTGGTGATTGTGTGCCATGGCCTCCCCTCATTCTCCAAAGTCGAACACACACAGAGTGACCTTGTGTAGAGCAGAAGGGTGGGCAGACACACTAAAATCAGCTCACGCCACGCAGTACTGTTGGCAAAAGAAAAAAAAAAGATCCTTCAGGATTACACACGCACCCACAATTACTCACTAAAAAGCATTAGTTCTACCCGACTCTGCATTATTATCTTTTTTATAACTAACACTAAATACACTTGCACGTATTCCTACATGATTCTCATAATCATCAGCTCCAAGTGAGACTGCAGGGTTGCCCCAGACTACTGTGGACTTGTTATACAAGCACCCATAAATCCACCCAGAGTTACATAAACCTGTCAGTGAGTTCATTACAATAATTATTTTAATTTTCTGTTGATGATTTAATGATAAAGCAACAGAAAAAAATAGAAAAAATAAAAAAAACAGTGAAAGCAGTTTTCAGAAGGGAGGCCATGTTTCCTGTTGAACACTTGTCGCCTTTCAGCTGACAGAACACTTTGTGTTTCACTGCTGGCATAGCCCACAGTGCTGTGAGCCATAGCAAAGAAACACCTTCACCCTCACTGGCACGCAGTTAGAAGCATATACAATATATACACAGAATATATGCTTAACAGTCCACATGCATGAAAAAGCTATGAAAACATCATCATCAACCCAGCGGTGATGCAAATTAGGATTACCATACTTTACTATTAATTTAAAGAAAAATAAAAGCCATACAAAAAAAAACCCCTGAAAAACAACTTGTTCCTGGGTGAGAATACCTAAGTCAGACCAACAAAGAATACCAGCTCAGCACAGACATCTGCAGCCTGTGCATACAACTGATTAGCAATTATAAATAACATTATGAAACCACATTCGTATAGCCTTACGAGAATTAATCAGAAAAATATAATAAAACTCAAAGTTAAGCATCCACATGCAAAAAAAAACAAAAACAGAACATTGTCATATAGCTGCAGTGTGCAATGCTGTGGGGTTTTTCAGGTTTCCCGATAAAACTAGCACGGAGTTTGTTAGATTGTTCCAAAGGTATTGATGAGGGCTTGTCAAAATCAAAGAGAGTTAGTGCAACATCCAATGAAAGTAGAAGTTACTGGAGAGAGTACTGCGATTCCTAAAGGAGACATGCAACAGCTGCACATCACGAATTATGATTTTGTTCATTTATCATAACTGCTATGATTGAGATATTGCTAATTTTACCCGTTCAAATCTAAGACGACTGTCCTTGACTTCACTGAATTGTTGTGGGGGATTTTTTGGGTACTTTAATCAGCTGCTTAATCTTTACATATCTCCTGACACTCACTCAGCAAGAATAAACATTTAGCAGAGTATCTTTCCAAAATATCCACCAGTGCAGAGAGGTACCCTCATTCAATCACACACAGCTTCCTCTCTGCCTGAGCAGCTGACACGTCCTCATACAGTTTTTATAGCTTATAAAGTGACTTTTGTTTTTACTCTCCCACAGATATGACTTTAAATAAGGTAAAGCACAAAGCTCAGAGAAAAGTACAAACTGTTTATTTTTTTTAAGAAATATAAAAATTTCTAAAATTAAAACTGTCTCATTAGGACAAGATACACATGTAAAGGTTTTGTGATTGTGCTACAGCTTTACTGGTACTTGTGCTCCTTTCTTACCATTTTTCTCCACACTCATAATCAGACAACCAGGATTTGGTCATCTGTAGTGCACTCTATTGATATTTTTTTTTGGGGGGGGGGACAGACCCACTATTTCCCAACTGGCAAGAAAGAAGTGTACTAAGGGGAAGTCTTTAACCAAAATACACAATAATACAATACAGCACGGTCATATCGTCTTTGATCAAGACACTGTATCCCTGATAGAGGTAGGTCACAATTAAATGAGCTCCCCCCAACAACCCGCTCCCCACCCAATTCCCTTCAAAAAAGATTAGTGAATTCCTGCTCATGATGTCACTGCAAATGTACTGATGTATAGGTACCCTGGATTGGATAGGTGTACAGGTAGTCATGGTGACAGAAAAATTTCCCCAGATAAACAGATTAGTTGATTATCTGTGCCCAGAAACATGAAAACAATACAACTAGATCAATACAAACCATATTTCACTGTCAGGAGTGTGAACACCTATCATCCAGGGAACACCACTGTTTTATCTCGTGTCTCAGTGGATCCACTCTTTTGGATGTATTCTGGGAAAAATACCAATCTATAGTCTACTCATCTTTCCTTTGTGCCATCAGTCTCCACATTAGCAAATTGGTTGACTTAAGAGGGATATATAAAACACTAATTTAGGTGTATTGTTCTGTCATTATCTACATTAGATTTTGGCATCAGGTATGAGAGCGTGACTGGAAAATTTGTGATAAAATTACAATTACCCCTGTGCCACCCCCGCAAAACTCAGCTAATGTACAAACAGTCACAGGGGATGTTATGATTTAAGCTTGTTGATTCCTACACCCTACTGAATGTATCATTTAGAAGGGGAAATGGCTTACAGTCTGGATGCCAGCGGCTTTGGGAAATTCAGAAGTTTTCTTTTGGATGAAGATGTATGATTTTTATCAGGTAGCAATGAAAAGGAGAAACATTTCCTCAGTAATATGTTTCTTTTAAAAAAAAAAAACAAGACTGTAGGTGGATTTTAGTCATAGATAAACTCAGCTAAATGAGCTTATAATTACGAAATTATAGGTGTATACCACTGCACCTGGTATTTTGACATTGGACAAGATGCTATCAATGCTGACAAATCTCTTCCAGTGGCTCATGTATTTGCACAATTACACAGATTGGTTATGCAAAGAGTAGGAGTGTTTGTTATGTAAAGTTATATACTGTATATGTATATATACGCGTACTTTTAAGAAAGATTAAAAGAGGATATTGAAAGTTTGTGTGCAGCAGAACTGTGGATATGTGAAGGGGCAAAAAGGGGAGTCTTTTTTTGCCACTGTGGAGGTGGCAGCATTCTTGGTAGGGCTTATATGCCAGTGCTGACAAAGGTCTGGGGCATGTGTATGCATCAGGGGAAATGGGGGGTGGGGGGTGACACTGATCCCTCAGAAGGCTATATTTACCCAAGAGTGATAGGGACAGGTGGATTCAGCTGGGATTGAGGGGTAGGGGTGGTAGAGATGGTTGGAAAGAACCGGACCTGGTTTCAGTTCAGTCAGAGACCGGGGGCAAACAGACAACCCAAATTGGGGGTTCTATTCAAAGCCAGCTGGTCTGGCTTTATTACATGCAGGACATCTATTTAAGGTCATTTGTGGCCTTTTGTTTTCTTTTTATCCATTATCACGTTTGTTTGTTTTTTTCTCTTTTTCAACTTTTTTTTTTACCTGTTTGATTCAGTCGGGCCTCAGCTGGTGCTGGAGGGTGTAGCTTCCTGGAGAAGCAGAGAAAAGGCACGGGTGAGTTTATAAATTACACCTATTCCACTTTTTTTTTCCACCCTCTAGTCTGAATCTCAATCTCTTAGAGATAGAAAACCTGTCTCTGTCAGAACTTCAAACACTTTGCACAGCAGGTCATGACATGTTTAACAGATTAAGCCATAATTTGGATATCTGATCTGCACAATTTAAACCATTCTGAAATTTATTTTGCAGCCGCATTGCCTAATTGTTTCATTATAGCTTCGCAGGATTTAGTGAATGATGTCTTTGTCATGTAACCCAACACAGAAGTGCCTATACCAGTATGAACAAGGCTAGAATACCTACTTAACTGCTGTTTACATTTAGATTTTCCTGCTCCTGAAAAAGTAGAAAGACACCAAAAAGAAAAAAAAAGAGAAAAAATCTCAAACAGTGTTGTAGGAGGAGCGAGGTCCCAGCTGGTGCCAATCACCTCTGTTGAGCACTTGGGGAATAGCTGATTGAGGCTCCTGGAAGTGCGTGTGTGTGTTTAGTTTTAAGAGTGTACATTTTTATGTCTCCAAGGCAAGAAAAATGGTTAAAGTCAGTAAAGTGGAACTTTATATTGTGCTGTTTCTCTGTTTCTAATTCTTCACAGTCAGTTTAGGTTACTTGTACCGTTATGGGTAATTGCTCAGAACATCTCATTGCACGATCTGGAATTATCAGTGAAAGAAAGAGCGTGGCCTTAAAGTGTTGTTTGCTTTAGAAATGACTCATTCCCTCAAGGTGGCTGCACTAGATGCAAATACATACTTCAGATGAAACGTATGTTTCCCATTTTGGTGTCTAATGAAGACATACTGGACAAACTTTTGATTGACAGAAAGGGGACTATTCTTCACCAGGGGATGAAAGAAACTGCGTAAAAGGGTTTTATTTTTTAAGTTTGTTTCCACTTTAGATTTAAATTTGTTGATGCTTCTGAATTTCATATCTTTAAATTTGAAGTTCAGGGTAATTTAGACTAGTTATTAAAATCGTTACTAAGTCAACTGTTGACACAGACAGTGGATATAAAACTTTATTATACTCCTACTTTAAAAGTAAAACAGTTTTATTTTTCATTTTTAATATACATCTAAACTTGAGAAGTACACATGCACACATGTCATATTATTCACCCAAAAAGCAGAACAGTAGAAACTTTGACCCAGTTTACAGGAACAGTGCAGTCCTTACTTTACTGCTTCTCTGCCCCTGAATTCCATGGCTTTGATGGTCAGCGGAGTTGAGGAAACGCACTGTTTTCTTTCTCCGTAGGGTGGTGAGCACTCTTGTGCAGTTGCCTCTCTGCCTTTGAAACTCACCTCATCCTGTCTTTCCACCTTCCAAGTCAGCTATTGGTTTCATTGTTGCTTCCAGTTTTTTGTTTTGTTTTGTTTGTTTTTTATGTTGTATGAATAGTAAGTCAATTATAATTATTAATAAATTTTTAACTTAAATGGCAATGTCTTAAATGTGAATGTCAAAGTTTGGTCAGTGATAATACGAGCACAAATTTTCCATAAAAATGTAGCTTTTAGTTTCAGTGTTTCACTTTGTCTGGTGTTAAGTGGAAGGTAATTCAATGCAGATATGCATTTTGTGGTTTCCACTGTGTCACAGTGTCTTTGTATAAATTAGAGGGAACGTTAAGATACACTGTAGAAGTAATTTGCTGATTTGTTGTTACTGTGTAGCTGCTGCTGACAGAAAGCATTGGTGGTATTTAGTTTCCATGGTTATTTTGTGGCACCACTGATCCAGATGCTCCCGAGTTACTGAAACTATGTTACTGTAGAAAGTGCATTTCATTTTTAAAACAAATTAGAACTGAACCAAGACCAATTACACATATGGGAGTGATTTCAATTGTGATGCATGAAGTACCTTGGTTCTGTAATGGCTTACAGTAACAGCGTAGTAATTCTGCTCTTATTTTTTTTCCTTTTCATTCCCCTTTTTATTATCTTTATTATTTAATTTTGGAAGACTTCCAGCAGCGGTCCATCCTTCTGTATAAAAACTCTGTTTCCTTCTAACCCCCTGAGCACTGTCGAGGCCAGAAAACAGTATGACGCTCCGCCGCCACGATACAATGCTTGTGTGCCGGGGCCGCCTAAATCTACAAAACACGAGCGCTGGCGCTAGGCAGCTCTTTTGATCTGCAGCTAATCTCAGTTGCCTGCCTCTCCTCTGATCATGTCTGAATAAGAATGAGTTGGGGGTGATCCTGGAGGCACAAAGAGCTTTAGACATCGCCGCTCGTCTGCCAAGCTCAACTGTGTAACACAGGTCTGCGCCGATGGTCGGCCTCGCTATCATACATCTAAGCTGGGAAATCCTCGTTTAGATACACAACATATTCCACTCTAGTTGCTTTTCTTTTCAGTGAGACACTATCAGCTGCTTGGTGAGAGTGTGGGAGAAGTTGCAGAGCCAAGCTGAATGATTGTTAATTGTCAAGAGAATTGGCTGAGGTCAACAGCTGCAGGAGGGACTTTTGCTGTGTAATAGTTATTATGGGAAATCAAAACAAAGCTAACTGCAGACTTTCGTGCTGTAGTTGGATGCATTGCAGCTGGTTTTGGTTATTCAGGAAGTGCAAGTGCAACTTTTTACAAAGGATCATCTTTATATTACTCTTTATATTGTAATATTCTGTTAAAAATAATGTAACTTTACTTATTCTTCAGTATTAAAAACTACTTTTATTGCTCAGCATGCACCTATATTGCATCTGCTGCCTCTAATTAAACCACCAATGCCAGTGACCCGTATTAATACTTTCTGATTTGCCTCCTTTGTCAGCAGAACAAGTTTTGCCAGTTCCTTTCTAAAATGCGCTTAAGTTCAGGGAGCGATCATGGATGTGGTTTAAAGAAACCATAGTTGATGGTTAAATAAGAAAGAAACAGCTGTCTCCCATCACATGTTACGCTCAATATTATTTACAAATACATAACAGAGCCAAACTTCAGCTGTAATTTAAGTCCGCATTTCTTCTTTGACATGTTGATCATGGCACTTTGCTCAGACGTGGGCTCTGTTCCACTGCCGCACATTTAACACTAATAATGTTGTTTCAGAAACAGCTTTTGCACCACTTCAGGAAACACCGGTGGGCACCCCTTGAACTGAGACATAAAAAAACAAGTATCACTGGCATCTCTCTTTTATAGGCACAATTAGAGAAAGGGCAGCAAGAACAATGGAATAACTGTGCCTTTGTTGGAGCAGTTCATAGGGAATTACTTTCCAACCATTCAAAATGAGGAAAAATCATTAGCAGAAAGTGAGTTTCTTTTTCCTCCCTCTCGCGAAGCAATCTGCTGGAGACAAAGAGAACTTTGAGCCCTTGATATACAGACAGTAAGCGTGGCAGTTAAGCACAAAGAAGACACGGAGAGAAGAAGAGGGGGAGGGAGGAAAAAACCATCAGGGATTAGAATAATGAAGGAAGTAAATTAAAAACAATTAAAATATTTGTGGGATAGCGGTTAGAGATATTTAATATTTGTTTAAAAAAATACTTGGCTAAAATGCCTAAACAGACAACCGTGTTGAAGTAGTTTAGGGTAAAAAGTTGGTTAAACTTTGGGGCACAGAGAACACCTCCAGTTAACCCCTGTGCTAAACCTCTCCATTCCCCTAAGAAGGGTGCAGACCTCCCCTGCAGGCAGCACACTTAATTGCAGTGCCTGTACACTGTGTTGTTCATATATAGCAGATGGCACACACTGATGGCACCTGTCACATTAATGATATATGTGACATTAAAGCATTTTGATTGTAAATAAACTAAGCTGGCAGTCAATTTGCAGGTATCAAGGCTGAATAATCACCTCTGTAGTCGACGTGAGCTATTTTTATTTTCTTCCCAATGTGATCATCTTGTTGAAATTGTTTATTATCATCCATTCGACAGGTGGCACGGTTAGTTCTTCGAATTAAATATGTGGAAGACGTGCTTGCTTTGTGGTCTGTGTCTCTGCGTGTCGAAAAGCCCACGTAGATGCGATATAACAAAGCGAAGAAGCAACAGGTCTGATTAACAGCGCGCCCAGCATCGCTGTGTCTCAGTGTGCCGGTGCAGTCGCAGACAGGACCATGGAGCTTTTCCTGTGATGTAACCAGAGAATCAAGAAGAACAAAGGGAGAATTTGTTGTTCAGCTTGTGCCTCATCCATAATGCAGGAAAGGTGTACAGACAGAATAGTGTTGGTTAAACGCAACACATGCAAATCACCCGAGCTGTCTCTGACTGACACTGCTTGTTAAGGGCTTGTTATATAGCCATTGCAGTTTTGGATGATAGATATTATTAAAGATGTAGCCACATGGTAGGAAAAAAATGTGTTATTAAAATTAAAACCGTATACAGTTTCACTGAAATATAGCAGGTCACTTCTCTTGTTATTTATTACATTTCAAGATATAACAAGTAAAACTACAGGATGTAGGAATATTTCACAAAACAGTTTTTAAAAAACAGTTTTATTGTAAAGTGATACAATAGTGACCTAAAGTTATGATGTAGATGAAATGAATATATGATATGTGTATCTTGATCAAGTCTTTTTACATTTGCATACAACTGATTCTTGCAGAGGCAAAATACCTCGAGGCATGAGTGCCAAGTTAAGGCAGAACTGCGTCGCTGCTTTCTTTCAGAAATAAAATGAACAAGGAGATATTGCCTAATAGCTGAATTGCATGTTCACATATTAAAAAAAAAAACATTCGTAAGTGCAAATAAATACTTCCTCATGGTTATATGACTCTCTTTGTTTTATATATATTATAACAAGGAGAAATATGATTTCAGTTAATTAAACCTGATTTTCTAACCTTTGCTCCCTTAATTATAAAGTACTGTAGTACAATTCCTTCGACTATAATTACTGATGATATTGCCCTGTGAGTTTCATTATAATACTTATTAATAAGGAGCTTCAAATTATTTATAATACCACGCTTTAGATGACTTACCCAAAGACCAAACACAGATCAGCGGGGGAATGTCTCTCATTTTCTAAAGCAGGTGTGTTTTTCCTGAGAACAGAGCCCAGATGTTGAGGCTGAGTGAGAACTGTATGGCTTAGATACTAGGAGTTCAAATGAACAAAGAATGAATGACGTTATAGTTTAATAATTGTATAAAATAACGGATCATGTTGTGGATTCCTCGATATTTGTGCTCTTGAATGTATACTGTCACGTTACATACACATAGCACGTGAAAATGATTCACAATTATGAATAACGTTTTAATTATTATACAGTTTTGTTTTGTTTTTCCAAATTTCTTTAATCAATCTAGGTTTGCCCTAACCCTAACTATAATGATATAGTATAATATGTGATGCATTTCAATAAGGCTGAATAAGAATAATAAAAAAAAAATTTTTTAATAAATATGCATTGAATTTTTAGCATTATATACCGAGTCAAAAAATATTGCTGTGATTGCCCTTGAAACACCCACAAGACATCTCCACCTGCAAAAGTGAGATCTATGGATTCCCAGCTGAGCATGTGAGTTAAATTGGCCTGCAGGTCTTTCTGTGCTTTCTGTGAAGCCTTTGGTCGTCACATCATGTAGCATCAATCTATTGTCAAAAAAACAAACGTGTCTAAAATTCATTAGGGAACGAGTGCAGGAAGAGAAAGCGGTAAATACCAAATAAAGCTGCAAGCATCTTCAGACATATCCGACATACAACAAATACTCTGCGTGTTTCGTAGTGCTTCTGTAATCGCTGGCTAATTCTCAGGAGCAGTGAGGCAGAGCGCTTGACAACATCATCTACTGTGACAGGCAGATTGTGTTTTCACGTGAGCATGATCGACAACAGATTGCACTGAGCCCGGGCTGTTCTTGTTTGCCCTGGAAATGTGTTTGTGTTTATCTTTTGCTTGAGAGAGGCATTTCTTTCTTTCTCCCTCTGTTACCAAAAACAAACGGGCGTGCGCGCACACATACATTTTTAGGCAAGCTGTTCTGCACGTGTGCGTTCGGTGCGTGCGTGTGACACATGCTGTGAAGTGGCTGCCAGGAGAGGCTTAAGAAACAATCCAACCAAGATCAATATCAGCAAACCGCACTTATATGTTTGACTTAAGATCCAGTCGCAGTTTCCCCTGTTTCACTTTTTATGCACAGCCGAAGCCAAACCTCACGAAACTGAATTTACCCGAAAGCCTAAAGTGTGTGTTTATGCACACTGTGACATATTTTGAAATTACATAATTGTTTGGCAAACTCTTAAACTGATTTTTTTTCCTCCACCAGGCTTTGATGAGACTGTCAACCCACACTCCAACACACTCGCAAACACACTCCTCAGAACACAAGTTCAGGATTGCATGTAGGAGGGAGGGACAATGGCTAATGAGTAGGTCTGGGAAAGTTTCAGATGGCAAGAAACTAATAATTTCGCTCATTTTGATTAATGAGAAAATAGTTTGTCTTAAGATAACACAAATGCCAAAACATATAATATTTAACTTACGCTCTGCTTATTTGCACACAGTCATTGTGTAACTAACTCTAAATTTATCAGTTTTAATAGCACAATGTGGCACATCTTCAGCTCTGCAATGTGGATTAATATCAGCCTGGTTATAATGCTGTATATAATACATATAGATATAGATATTTAGCCTTAGCCCTGTGCTCAGTAGTCTCAAGAGCAAAATATACAGCAGGTCTTCCCTATTTTGCATTAAATGTATGAGAACTGAGGGAGGCTGTTAGTATGGTTTCACCATAGGTTTATCCCCGTAGACAAGTCAGTCATTTATGAATAAGCATGAGCCAGTGTTTGCCTCATTTAATGATTTTTCACCATTCAAATGTATTCCACATCCCCCCATTTTTTTCTCTGTGTTTCATATGGCTATCATACACACACACACACACACACACGTTACACAGATGTTAACATAGATCTTTGCACACTATGTGCACGCACCTACTCTTACACAGAAGCAGTAAGCACTTCACTGGCAGGTTCACTCTTCTTCTCACCGTGCCTGCCTACTTTGCTTCTCCTCTCAGGTGCTAACCAAATGACGACCTCAAGCACTGGGAACACTGAAAGGACCTCTTCAGTGAACTTCTCGCAAACAGCATAGAAAGCTACAAGAGGGAGGGCACGAACAGAAGAAGAAGAAGTAGAAGGAACACTGCATGTGGTATGTACAATCACATAAGCACCCGCAGCTATCCATATATTTTGGAGACTTACTGCAACTGTCAGGTGCGAGCACCAGAAGAAGTCTGACAGGAGGAAGTCACGTCTGTTGAAACTGTGACTCTGTGAACTCGCCGTTTCATACATGCTGACATGTAACGCCGTTGATATCTGCCGTGTCGCGTTTATGAACCTGCTGTGTCCAACAGCACCTTATTGATTATTATGGAGGTCTAGGGACCAGAGGAAATGCTATTAAAGATTAAAGGGTCAGGTGATGTGAAGGTGGCATTCAGAGTCATCAGACACCAGCGGCTTCGGTTACAGGCTGTAATGTTCACCCGTCAAGCAGATTAGCCAGCTTGATTTATTTATTACCTGATGTCTTACCATTTCCTACCCTCACTGACTGAATAACTGATTGACTGGGTGGCTGACTGTGTGCATAGCTTATGCGTCGTAGGTGAACTTCAAAAGGGAAGGGGAAGATTATGGAGTCAGTCGGTGTCTATTTACACAACAACGCAGTCTGTATTGCTTTTACAGTGCAAAGCTAATAAAGAGAAAAGGGTTTGTTGTTTAACTGTATATAGACCATAAGTGTTTTTCTTTTCTTTGGTTTGTTAAAATATCAGGATGAAAGAAACTTTTGAAAGCCTGTGATAATGTTTTCCCTTTTTTCAATGTTAAATTGATATAAAGTCAACAATTGGGCCTAACGGTGTATTGTAGCGTAACAAGCTCCATTCAGGGCAGCCATTAAAAATCCTAAAACCGTGATACGGCACCCATATAATGTGAGTATAATAGAACTCTGGTATTATGAGGCCTATCTGGTATACATCTCTGTACAGAGAGCCAATGCACTGCCTGTCTGTGTCTTATCTGAAGTGGCAAACTTGCTGTTCTAATTGTTATCTTCACACTAATAGAGTGGATGTTTTGAAATCATTTGGTTGGACGGATAAAGGCTTGGCAATTCCCCAATGCTTACTGTCTCTGTCAGGGCTTATCTGTAGGAGATAGCTGGGTCCCTAAGAATGATTGGCGGGGTGCAGGATGTGCAAAAGTGTTGGAGCGTCTGAGAAAGGAGGCAGAGCAGACATCCAAGGAATTGTTGAGAATTAGAAAATGGCATTATTCGGGAGTTGCTAAAGTTGCTCCTACTTTTCCAGCGAAATCGCATTGAGGGAAGAATCATGTCATTTAATGTGATAATTAATCTTAAACTCTTATTGTTAAAATAATGAGTGATGTTGGATCATCTGTGAGTGTGTGTTTGTAGAAAATTGTGAGTCTTTTTTTTAAGTATTTTCTAAAAAAACAAAAAACTAAAGGTGCTGAAACACGCTGAAGTGTTTTGCTTCTTGCTACGACAGACTTAAGTTTTGGTGTACTTGGCATCTGATGTGAAACAAGAGGCTGAAAACTTAACCTGCCTGAGCGAAACACAACTTTCGCGGTACGGGTTTCATCGCATGCTGTCGCCTGCAGACCTCGGGGTGCTCTCCGTGACATCATTAGTTAAAGAACACATGCCCCATCTTCATCATCCTCCTCCTCCTCTAGCGGTCCTCTCTCAACACTAATTGTGTCCACTCTGTCGGGCCTGGCGCGATAATAAAGCGTTAAGAGCCTCGCCTCGTTTATTAAATTGGAGTTGGGAAATGTGAGACCGCCCCCTTTCAGGAGTTTTTTTAAAAAAAGAAAAGGGGGTAGAGAGAAAAAAAAATCGATTATTTCTTCACGCAGGAGAGCAGAAGGTTTAGGGAAAGACTTGGTCGGGACTGTGGGGAGGAACAGAAACAGCTTCGCAACATCACTATTAAGCTTCAGACGTCCAGTACTAATACCGGCACCACCTCCAACACAGCCGCTCCACCGAGTCCCTCGCCGCTCACCGGTACTACGCACTAGCAGACCAGACGGTGCGTCCTCAGCGCCTCCTGAGCGAGCTCTGTCGGATCAGAGAGAGAGAGAGAGAGAGAGAAGAGAGAGAGAGAGAGAGAGAGGGGTAGTTTTCTCTGACATTATAGGGACTCATACCACGTATTGTAGGTTACTTTTTTTCCCTCTCGGCGCCGTCCTCCTGCTTAGTTGCGCTCCTGGATTTTAAGTGCGTCTCGGCGAACTCCGTCCCCCATCAAGCAGCGGCTCCAACCTTCCTGTCAAACAGCCGGACCAAACACCCGGCGGACCGCTTGTTGTAGCCTTCTCTCGCTTCACTCGGGACAAGATTTCAGATAAAGTAAGTACCGCACTTGCACCACTTGGCACTCACTGGCAAACACCTCACTCCATCGTATGGTTCTTAAAAAAATATATTATTTATTTTATTTGAAATGTTCCGTAAGGGGAAACTTGAGGGTCTAGTTTGATGCGCGTTGTGTCCCCTGACAAAGTACAGCAACTGCGTGTATTGATTTGTTGTGACCCCCTTTCGACTCGTGCCGGTAACAGCAATGTAATATAGTTACCGAGCGACATCAACTCACTGGTTATGGTGTATTAGGAGATCCGTGTGGTGATTTTAGGTGTCACTGCTGTGTCGACCTTGTGCAGCTTTCTCGCGTCCACATGCAGGCGCACAGTCCCGAAGCCAATGAACAGGCTGGTCACATTAACACTATACTTTATGCCCTCTTTTTGCGCCTTTGGGCAGGGTGGCATATGAAAAGTTGCATTTGGGTTGTAAAATGTAGCGTTCAGTCTACCTCAAACAAAATTATAAAGGCAAAAGGAGATGCACAAGTTTTTACATTTCAGATTTCCATCAAAGCAACAGATTAGGGAAACAGTGATCCTAGTTTGTGGATATTCTTTGCGCACGAAATAAACGTTCTAAACTGAGGTGAACTGATGGCAATTATGCCGTGCTAAACTTTAAACCGGTATATTATGTAGGAAGCTTTGATAATTATCAAATAAATAGCTAATCATATCCTCGCTGCAATACAGGGGAAAACATTTTTTTAGACTTATTTGGATGTAAATTTATGTAGATGAGCGACACGGCGGACTGTGCTGTAAATCAGTGTTTTAGAGGAGGTTTGGCTGTTCAGGCTCAACTATAATTTCTTCTCTGTGCCTTTGTGACTGAGACTGACTTATTACAAGAGAGCAAGTATGATTAAATTCATATTGCGAGTTTGGTTAAGCCTCACGTTGCTCAACTAAACCTGTTGCGATGAGAGGAAAAATCACGAGGCTACAATTAACTTGTGGCAACTTTTCTCAGGTTTCAGCTTTGGAGCTAAAAATGGATTCTTTGTTTTACACTTAAAGTGTGCGGACACGAGGCCCACCATGTAATGTGCAGAGAAACTCGGGCTTGCAGTGACATTTAAAATTACTATTCTACATTTCATTTTCATTTAGATAGATTTTGGGATTGAGTTGGCTGTGGACAAAAAAAACGTATGCTTAATGTGAGGATAAACGTTTATCTCTTTACTTATATTGGGCTGAATTAGTTCTTAAGCTGAAACACAGTTTTGTCTGTGAAATAAATTATATAAAAAAAGTAAGAAATGAACAGGGCTTTAATATAGTGATAACTGCTTGGAATTAAATATAATTAATGTAACTTTTAGAGAATATTTTGAGATTCATTAAACTATTAAATTAATTTTAAAATAACAGCTATGTAAATGAGGTATTTTAAGGCACTTACAGAATGGTAAAAGTGTTTCTGTGTGTAGCTGTATACCAGCTTATTTAATGTGTGCGTTTAAAACACACTGCGTACCGCTTGACTGCATTTCTCAGTTCACTTTCAGAAAAAAAGAGAGATGCTCCGTGTTTTAAGGCGTATGCAATTTTTAAGATTTTTAAGAACTTCTGAAGGGAACGTGGTGTCCAGTTGTCCAGTAACCCTTTATTAAACTTTTAAGTGAACTTTTTAGTCTTAAAAAAGTCAGAGTGCATTCATTTATGTATTTTTTTTTAGAAAACAACATCATAAGTGTGGCTTTCCTTTTCTGACTATCGTCAATGAAGTTGTTCTGTGTGGCCTGTCTGGCCTGTTGCTCTCTTGGGATTTAGCGATAGGTTAATCCGCTCAGAGGAAGGTGAGCACTTGCATGTGGACCCACGATTACACACTGAGAAGTCTGTCAGCCAAGCTCTGTAATCTAAGAGACCCTCTACACACACACAGACACACACACACACACACACACATGGACACTTGTATGCAGTTGTGCGCAAACACACACAGGTGCACAAAAGCATGTTCTGTCTCCTTTCTCTCTCTCGCTCTCCCTCCTTACACACACACTTTTACACACATGCATCAACACCCACACTATTTGGCCTGCGCTGCTTTTGTTTCTCTTATTCTCTTAAGACCTCTCCATCTTGACAAATCATTTGGGACTTTAGGCGCTGATTCACAAAACCAACAGCGACAACACACTCTTACCCTTCTCACAGAGAGGGATTAGAAGGTCACGTGTCTCTGTGATTGGCCAGGGCATTGAGCCGATTGTCAGGGCACTTTGCTGTACGCCAGGGGCTCAGTAAAGCTTTAGTTAAGTGAAGGAAGGGAACACATTGTATGCCACGGTCAGGGTAATGCCATGTGTTTTCAAGGCACTGCAACAAAATCAGCATAATTAGCAAATATTTGTCATTTGAAATGCCTAATATATTGCTTCTAAATGTGTAATGTAACACCCATAAATTAGTTTTACTGGTGGTAACTTCTATTCCTGCTACCAAGTTTCCATCTTCAGGGGGGGAAAAGGTGTAAACTATACCACTGTGCTCCCTGATCTCTGCTCACATAGACATTTAATACTGTACAAGAGGCACATTTCAAAGATCCCCACCTTATGGAAAACCAGATCTATGAAAACATTTTTCCTTAATGGAGACAACCAATGTATTTATGTTTAAGCAAACAGTTTAAAAGCCCCTTTAGCTGTGCTTTAAAGTTTTTGTTTTTTTTTCACTAATGGCTTCAAATATTTTGGAAGAAGTTTGCAGAGTTTACTCAGT